CTTTCACAGTGCATATGGTCACTTTAGCAACTTTCCACGACTTCATGTACATTATGATGATATATTCAATAGCAACTGAATGACAATAATAATAGATACACGCAGTAGCATGACCTGGATCCCTGGTGTTGCCCCAGGTCCCTGGTGCTGCGATCACTGACATCATAGCAGCATCTCACCCCTCGGATTGCCACAGTTTGACAGTACGTTTCAGAGCCAAGCAAAACTCCTCTGCACAGTATGAAGATATGTGCATGGGGTGTGCCTGGACACACCCCAATGTGGGAGTCAGCAACCCAATGGAACCTGGAGAGGAGGGGAGGTGGATGCAGCATTTAGTGGAACTGATGGGCTGTATTTTTCTCCTGCAGCAATGGAAAGCTGGATTCTCCTGCTCCTCCTCCCACTGGCACTCAGCTGTTGCAGGAGAAAAATACAGCTCATTGGTGCCACTACATGCTGCCCAGTTTCCCCTGTGATCCCATGCCTGCCTGCCCCCCCCATCGTCAGCACTGCGGCTCCCCTCCTTTCCCGCCGGCTGCTGCAGGGGATGTTACAGTGATCAGTACTGATTATTCACTGTGTTCATTCGTAACTGATGCATAGTTAACGGTGTCTAAACTGTGTGTAATATGTGTTTATTACATTTCAGTTTGTGAATGAACTGGAAGCCACTCTGTACAAAAGCATTTTGTTCATCCACTGTTCAGTGCAGTTAAGGTGCACAGAAAAGGACTGAGGAATCTGTTCTTGGTCCATTTCTTCTCAAAAGTGAGACATTAGGGGTCTGTTTACACCCCTGATAGTTCACCACAGCAACCCCCAAACAGGGCTCCTAAAATAATACAAAATAAAATTGTAAAAATTAATTAAAAAAAAAAACTACTGGCACCATTCACTGCCCTCCTGACACTGTCCTCTTCAGGAGGGGCGGAGGAAGGGCACCAAACTGATTCTTTGCCCTGGGAGCGGAATTTCTAGTTTTGCTACTGTGCACCTTTACACCCCGGTCACATCAAAGGCAATTTTGAAATTGTGTGACTTACAGTGAAGTTGCACAATTTCAAAATCGAGTGACCTGCTGATCTCCTTGCGATTTGCAAGACATCTGACACAGATGTCTATGCAAATTGCAACAATAGTGCATGCACTACTTTTGAAATCAGTGCGGCTCCAACCAAGTCGGAACCACTCTAATAGTGGACAATAGGGTGCGACTTAGCATAAGATTTGCAAGTCACCTGGCATGCAAATCGCATTCCAAACCGCACTCAATGTGACTGGTGATTTAATGGAATTAGAGAGCTGTCAAGCTGCAGTTGTGACAGACCTTTTCTAATGATACCAATATTTACAGGTGACAAGAAATTAGAGTAAGGCAACCAACATGTTAGAATTAAGTCCCAAGTTGAAGGAGACTAATGTTTATATACATCAGATGTATGGAACTCTTAGGGCTCGTTCACACTTGGCTGTTTTGCCAACGCTTTGCAAACGCCCCTATAGCGTTTGGCAAGCGCTGGTCCGGCGTTTGCGGAGCGTTTTTTAACGCTCGGCAAACGCCGCATGCGCGGTTTAGCGGAGGTTGCTAGGCGTTTGCCAAGCGTTAATAACGCCCCACAAACGCCAATAATGCAGTTTGAGTGGTGTTACCGCTCCGCAAACGCCCCGCAACCGCGTCGCAACACCGCACTGCAAACGCCGGGCGTTGGAGGAGCGGCACCATAGACGAGAATAGGGAACTTCAACGCCTCCTGACTCGTCCAGAGGCGTCCGTTTTGCCGCAACGCGACGCAAACGCTCCCGTTAGAACAGCACCATGTGCTGGAATGTGCAGAATTGGCAGAGGCGTTTGGGAAGCGGTAAAAACGCTTCCCAAACGCCTCTCTGCCACCTGCACACAGTGCTAGTGTGAACGTAGCCTTAGGATACTTGATGTGACTAATGGGCCTTCTGTAGGGGAAGTTATGTTTGGTCTCATATTGATCAGTATTGTCTTCTATATCTGGGTGAATAATCATGATTAACATGCTTTAATCACAGCAAAGTGTACATATAGATATTAGTTCTGTAGTGGGAGGTATTCAGGAAGGACTGTTGTTTCTGCTTTCCACTGCTTGCTATAGTATTTATGACATGTCATAAAGCCTTCCTATTCGGCTAATGGCTTGAGTGATGTCTGCTTAATGGTTTTAATTACTTAAGCTTGGAAAAAGGAAATATGTTTTTCAATAGCAATTAAAGAGGTCTGGGGTTTGCATCTCTGCCAAGTTCTGCTAAAAGTCCTAATTGCCCTGCTATGAGGCTCTTTTTAAACTTGTAGATCCACTGATCAGTGCTTTACTGCTTTGTAGCTGGATTGTTTGGTAAAGGAATCCAGGAGGCCTGTTAAGTGAATGTGACCCACCAAATTTTGAATGGTATATAGTGTCACAGACCTGCAAATGCTCAGGACAATGTCCCATTCACCACACAGTTTGGTGGTCTTCAGATCTCAATCCGGTCAACCATAATGTGCTACATATATGCAAAATGAAAAAATAGGCCCAACTCGATTACAGATGCAAGGAGAAAGCAAACACAAAAATTTCTGCGATCACGCAAACCCCCTCAACCCAACCTGCTGTATAAATATTTATACAATTAACTTCTCATGAGTGTTATAAAAGATCATAATAACCAAGTGATTCCAAGCCTTTTCAACAATGTTAGCCTGGGCTGTTTGACAATTTCGTAGCAAATAGTCACTTAAAGTGGTTCTAAAGGCTGAAGGTTTTTTACTCTAATGCATTCAGGTAACAAACCTTTAACACTCAGCTCCTTCCTCAGCCCCCCTTCTACATTCCTGAGCTCGATCTCGATCAAGCACTGTGTACAATAGAAGTGACTCTCTCAGCTCTCTCTCCTCATTGGCACAGACAGCAGCGGGAGTCGATGGCTGTTAAATCACAGCCAGAGAGGAGGGAGCAGGGGTGGGGCCAAGCTGTATTCTGTATGTGAATGGACACACAGAGCTGGCTTGGGAGTGAGCCTGCACGAATACCCCCATAGCAAGCATCTTTTTATGGGGTTACTCAGCAGAGGGGAAGAGCCAGGAGCACCAGCATGGGATCTAAGAAGAGGAGGATCTGGGCTGATCTGTGCCAAATCATTGCACAGAGCAGATAAGTATAACATGTTTGTTAGTTTAAAGAAAAAAATATTAGGGTTTATGTTGAATGAAGATGTGAAGGTAGCATACAAAAATTAGATGAAAAACATTCTTCCAGCACAGGAAATAGCCCATTAACATGTATTTTGGACCCCATTTGGACAGAACAAATGTGCATGCGAATTACACCCTTGAAGATCTTCAGCCTAGAAAGAAAAAAAAATTAAAGTCAGCAGCAACAAATATGGAGTCTGCTGGCTTTTAATAAAAGGACACTTACCTGTTCAGGAATCTAGCACTGTCCTCACCTGGGCCAGTTTTTTGCTGGTTTCAGGTCTCCAGTCAGCATGTTTACTAAGCAAAGCTGTCTGTGACTCATTGTGGCTTCACAGCCAGCTTCCCGCTGCACATGAGCGAGCCATGCTGCTCTTTGTGAAAGGAAGGGAGGGCAAGTGAAGTACCACTTTAATTTTAAGAGAGCACATTTTTCAATGCTGAGACAAGCTCTTCAAAACTGAGACACAGAAGCGAAATGATAATATTTCAAACAGACTATGTGTAAACACAATGCATAACTTATTCCCATGAGCAATATTTAAAAGAATAATAATGATCGCACTGCAGCTCACTTTGTATGTTAAAAAAATGGAAACTTAAAAACGCCACATGTTTAGGCATTCAGGCATTTTTTATTACTTATTACTTTTATTGCAGCCCATTGTTTTTAATTGGCCTGTACACACAGGTGTGTATACTTGGGCTGAGTATAGATCAGAAAAAAAAAACTACAAAAAGGCCCCTTTCACACGGGCCATTTTTCATCTGTCTGTTTACGGATGAAAAACGGACCCCCCATGTATTTCTATGGACTTGCGGATGTAAACGGATGAACATCTTTTTACAGCTGTTAATGTCCGCATCCATTAACCCTATTTTTCTTCGGCAAAAAAAAAAAAACCCAGAACGGACGAAAAACGGATGTCAACAAATGTAAATGGACCAAAAACAGATGTAAACGGATGCAAAAGGGATGTAAACGGATAAAAACCAATGTAAACGGATGAAAAAACAGATGTAAACTCATCTGTTTTTTCTATGAAAAAAACGTGACTGAACTGAAGAAAAAAAAAAAAAAAAACTGTGTGAAAGGACCCAAAGCGGTTTTGCTGGTCAGTTTTCTTCCATATATGAGTAATTAGAAATTAAGAATACAACAGAAGCTGTAAAAAGTAAATCCAAGATGGCAAAAATCCAATAGCAGATTGTGAAGGAGAGCGAAACAAACACACAAAATTCTTCACATATAAAACATAAAAAAAGACTAGGCCTGAGCATATACAGTATTTTTCGCTCCATAAGACGCACCTGACTATAAGACGCACCTAGGTTTTAGAGGTGAAAAACAAGCAAAAAAAATATTCTGAACCAATGGACTGCAGACACAGTACAGGGGATGACCAGAGACTGCTGACAGTACAGGAGATGACCAGAGACTGCGGACACAGTGCAGGAGATGACCAGAGACTGCGGACACAGTGCAGGAGATGACCAGAGACTGCGGACACAGTGCAGGAGATGACCAGAGACTGCGGACACAGTGCAGGAGATGACCAGAGACTGCGGACACAGTGCAGGAGATGACCAGAGACTGCGGACACAGTGCAGGGGATGACCAGAGACTGCGGACACAGTGCAGGGGATGACCAGAGACTGCGGACACAGTGCAGGGGATGACCAGAGACTGCGGACACAGTGCAGGGGATGACCAGAGACTGCGGACACAGTGCAGGGGATGACCAGAGACTGCGGACACAGTGCAGGGGATGACCAGAGACTGCGGACACAGTGCAGGGGATGACCAGAGACTGCGGACACAGTGCAGGGGATGACCAGAGACTGCGGACACAGTGCAGGGGATGACCAGAGACTGCGGACACAGTGCAGGAGATGACCAGAGACTGCGGACACAGTGCAGGGGATGACCAGAGACTGCGGACACAGTGCAGGGGATGACCAGAGACTGCGGACACAGTGCAGGGGATGACCAGGGACTGCGGACACAGTGCAGGAGATGACCAGAGACTGCGGACACAGTGCAGGAGATGACCAGAGACTGCGGACACAGTGCAGGAGATGACCAGAGACTGCGGACACAGTGCAGGAGATGACCAGAGACTGCGGACACAGTGCAGGAGATGACCAGAGACTGCGGACACAGTGCAGGAGATGACCAGAGACTGCGGACACAGTGCAGGAGATGACCAGAGACTGCGGACACAGTGCAGGGGATGACCAGAGACTGCGGACAGTGCAGGGAATGACCAGAGACTGCGGACAGTGCAGGGAATGACCAGAGACTGCGGACAGTGCAGGGAATGACCAGAGACTGCGGACAGTGCAGGGAATGACCAGAGACTGCGGACAGTGCAGGGAATGACCAGAGACTGCGGACAGTGCAGGGAATGACCAGAGACTGCTGACCTTTGGGGAGGGAGGGGGAGCGGGTACCTGAATTTGACAGGTACCCGCTCCCACTTCCGCGGAGTTGTCCTTCCCTCGCCGGCTTCTGTGACAGCCGGGTGCCCACTGCGCATGTGCGAGAAGCGCTGCGCTTTGTGAATGGCACGGCGCCTTCTGGGACCTTTCATGTGTCCCAGAAGACACCGGATCATTCACAAAGCGCAGCACATGCGCAGTGGGCACCCGGCTGTCACAGAAGCCAGCGCGGGAAGACTGTGCAGCACTGGAGCGAGGAACAGGTAAGGCCCTTCAGGAGACAACAGCTGAGCGGCCGGCCCGGTATTCTGACATGGTGGCCGCAAAAAAATACCAGACCGGCCGCTTTATATTCGCTCCATAAGACGCACTGACATTTTCCCCCCTTTTTTTGGGGGAAAAAAGTGCATCTTATGGAGCGGAAAATACGGTAATATGGTATCTCTCACGCTCTGGAGTCTATGTCTCTTTTAATACAAGAGAGGATTTTGTTCACTTTAGAAATCCGCAGCTTGGCATTGCATGCCATTTCAGCTTGTGATCTACCAGAAAACTCCCAGGTCCTTCTCCACCATTGATTCCCCCAGTTGTACTCCCCCCCAGTATGTATGATGCATGCATATTCTTAGCTCCAAGTGTATAAACTTACATTTATCAACATTAAACCTCATATGACACTAAGTTTCCAAATTAAACAGTGCATTGAGGTCAGCTTGCAAATTGAAGACATGCTGTAAGGACATTATTCCACTGCACAGCTTGGTGTCATCTGCAAAGACTGAAATGGGATTTTTAATCCCAGACCCTATATTGTTTATAAATATATTAAAAAGTAAGGGTCCCAACAATGAACCTTGGGGTACACCCCTGACAACCCTAGACCATGCAGAGTATAAATCATTAACCAATACTCTTTGAATACGATCTTTTAGCCAGTTTTCTAACCATTTACATACGGATTTTTCCAAGCCTGTAGACTTTACCTTATACATTAGCCATGTGTGGGGAACTGTGTCAAATGCTTTTGCAAAATCCAAGTATACCACGTCCACCACCACCCCTCTGTCCAAGGTTTTGCACACTCCCTCATAAAAAGAAATCAGATTTGTTTGATAACTTCTGTCTCTCAGGAATTCATGCTGTCTGTTGCTTAAAATATTTTTTTCCAGCAAGAACTCATTGGAGAGTTTAATAAAAGACCACATAGATATCTTCCCAACTATAGAAGTTAAACTAACAGGTCTATAATTACTTGGTAAAGATTTTGACCCCGTTTTAAATATTTGCACCACATTGGCCTTAGGCCAATCTAGTGGTACTATGCCAGTCATTAAAGAGTCCCTAAAAATTTGAAACACTGGCTTTGAAATGACAGAGCTCAATTCTTTAAGGACCCGTGTGAGTATGCCATCTGGTCCAGGTGCTTTATTCACCTTTATACTGTCTAAATATTTTTGGATCATATCAGTTGTGAGCCAATGTGGATCATCTGGAGCTGTGTCAATACCATTCCCATTATGGACAAGAGCTCCCCTGTGTTCTTTTGTATACACAGAGCTGAAGAAGGTATTTCATAAATTTGCCTTCTCTTTGTCCCCAGTCACCCACTCTACATTATTTTGTAAAGGGCCTACATGCTCAGACCGGACCTTTTTACTATTAATATATTTGAAGAATTTTTTAGAGTTGGTCCTGCTACCTTTCGCAATCGGTCATTCATTTTCAATTTTTGTGGCCTTTATTTCCTTTTTGCATATTCTGTTATATTCTTTGTAATGTTTAAACGATGATAGCATTCCTTCATTTTTATATTTTATAAAAGCTCTTTTCTCTGCAGTGTGATCACATACAGTCTATTTAAAGAACTCTTATTTCTCTGTTGTGTTCATCGATGCCAATATTCCCTCCCAGTCTAAGTCTTGGAGAGCAGCTCTCAGCCTTGGAAAATTAGCTCTCTTAAAATTGAGCGTTTTTATTTTTCCCGTATGTGCTCGCTGTTTACAGCTAAAAATAAATGAAATCATGTTATGGTCAATGCTACCTAGATGTTCTTTTTATATGGACATTTGTAATAAGCTCTGCATGGTTTGAGATTACCAGGTACAGCAGAGCATCATTCCTAGCAGGGGCTTCTATGAACTGTACCATAAAATTGTCCTTTAGTAGGTTTAAAAATTTTTGGCCTTTAACTGTTCCTGCAGTAGCATTACTCCAATATCCAGGTAGTTAAAATCCCCCATTGTTATCACTGTCCCAGCCCTTTCGATCTATACAAGGAGCGGGGTTTCCACCTCCTCATTAACACTGGGAGGCCTATAACAAACTCCAATGATTACCTTTGCAGTATGCACCCCCATGTGCAGTTCCACCCATAATACTTCAGCCTCATCACACTCTCCATCAACTAGGTCCTCTTTCACACTTGCTCTGAGATCACTTCTCACATAGAGACAGACACCACAACCTTTCCTATTTACCCTGCCTCTCCGAAAGAGAACATAGCCAGGAACATAAATGGCCCAGTCATGGGAAGAATGAAGCCAAGATTCAGCAATACCAATTAAATCATAGTTCTCCTCATGCACCGAAGCTTCCAACTCACCTATTTTGCTTGGAGGACTTCTGGCATTGGTGAACAAACACTTTAATTCGTTGACACCTTGTTCACACGTATTTTGCATATTTTTTATTTTCATACAAATGGTACCAATTCCACTGGTTGTTTGTAACATGGGAACCTTCTTATCTGCCATAGCCTTTCCCCATTCCACCCACCAATAAGTACTGACCCCTGTCTGATCTGTCTACCCTGTTATAATCTAATTCTCCCTTCCCCCTCAAACCTAGTTTGAATACTCCTCCAGCCTTCCCATAAACCTATCCCCTAGCACAGCAGACCCCCTTCCATTTAGGTGCAAACCATCTCTAGCATATAGGTTGCACCCCAATGAAAAGTCAGCCCAGTGCTCTAGAAACCCAAATCCTTACACCAGGTCTTCAGCCATCTATTGAGTTCTCTAATCTCTCCCTGTATATCCTGAGTTGAGCATGGCACAGGTAATATTTCAGAGAATATGACCTTGGAGGTCCTTCCCTTCAACTTGCAGCCTAGTTCTTTAAATTGATTCTTAAGGAGCCTCCACCTTTCATGTATTCTGTCATTGGTTCCATAATGAACCAAGACAGCTGGGTCATGCCCAGCCCCTCCCAGTAATTTATCAACCCGGTCCACCACATGCCAAACCCTGGCACTAGGGAGACTGCAAACCATTTGGTTGAGGCTATTCTGGCAACAAATTATTCTATCAGTCCTTCTGATTATAGAATCCCCTACTACCACCAGCTGTCTAGTCCTTTCTGCACTACCATCACCACCCCTCCCAGATGGTCTGCCCTCCCGGCTGTATGGATAGCAGTGACATCCAGGGCTGCCACCCAAGCTTGCCACCCCCACATCTTCACCCAACTTAGCAAATCTGTTTGGGTGCACAAACCCAAGGCCAGCCTTCCTTTTCTGTGAGCCCCTACCACTCCCTCTTGTTACAGTAACCCATCTTCCTACCTGATAATCCTGATTAGCCCCTCCACATCAATCCCATTAGCTACCTGCTCAGAGAGCAGAAGACCCCTTTCAAGGTTGTCAGTTCTGCCCAGTGTTGCAACTTGCTCCTCCTGATCTCTAATGTGAGTTTCCAGAAGGGCAAGCCACTCATATCTGTCACAGCGGTATCCATCCTGGAGCTGTTGCTCCATTGCTGCATACATGTGGCACACCGTGCACTGCACAAAACCTTCCACCCTGCTAGCACACATTATCCCAGTTACAATATTAACATGAAATATCAGTTGTCACTTACAGGTTAGCAGACTCCTGTTAAAATCTCCTGTTTTCCACTCCAGTTTTTTAACTCCACTTATCAAATGTCCACTTAGTCAAAGGTCCGGCAAGCAAAATACAGGCAAGCTCAGATTGAGCTCTTCAGCAAGTTATAGCAGACTGAAGGAAGACAAGGAAAGGAAGAAAAAAAATGCTATTTAAAAAAAGTGACAGAAAAAGGGATTTAAAAAAAGTAAAAGCTTTTAGCAAGACCCAAAGAAGAAAATAAAACAACTAGAAGCACCAGCAATCAAAAAAAAAAAAAATGTTAAAATTTCCCACTCTTTTAAGCTATCAGCCAGCAAAAACGCCACTATTTTAACTAGTAATGCTGGCGATCAGCAAACTTATAGTGGGACTGTGGCGGGCATTCTGACATTGGGAGGAACTGACTTGGTGTCCCCAGTGATGCCAATACAGTGATCAGTGCTAAGAAGAAAAAAGTAAAAAAAAAAAAGCACTGACACTGTACAGTGTTGCAGGAGCTGACAGGGAGGATAACTGTTTTGTTTACAAACAGTTCTCCTTCCCATTGGAGATGCTTGGCAATCACCGGCCACCAACGAGTAATCACCGGCCGGGACCCAGTGATTGATAGCTGCAGCCGCGAATGGCAGCACGGGTAGGGCGTGCGTGCCCCTACCCGGAAATGCAAAATCCCATATATATGTGTGTGTGTGTGTGTGTGTGTGTGTGAGATTTTGCGCACCTGTGCCACCCTGTAGAAGTATATCTGCTATAGGGCGGTCGGGAAGCGCTTAAGGAATGTTTGTCAAACAATATTTTGTTGTGGCAGCCATTGTATGTGATACCATTCTGGATTTTGTGGATGACACACAGAATCTGCCATAACAATAGTGGTGCTAGGAGCTTTGGCTGTTTAAAAGCAAAACAAGAAAAGGAACAAAATGCAGAGGATTAAGCCTTGTTCGCGCAGGGTATATGAAAGCATACACCCGTGGAGGGTGTTAACCTGCACCACGATGCGTAGGTGTTCTGAGTATCCCCAAGCACGCAATCCTATTGCTGTCCAATGGGACACAGCTGTTGTGCCAAATTTGGTATCTGTGTGGGTACATGTAGGTGCTTATCCCTGAGCTCACACAGA